GCAGACCCTTATAGACTGGTTCAAATGACAAAATGTATGTCATGTGTGAACGGCAAAACCAAGAACTGCTTTTAACTCTCTACATGAGGACATGCGACTTGGCAAGTCATTCTTGGTATAGAAAGAATGCTGTCACGACTCTCTGTTGTCTGGTCCTTGGAGGGAAAGTTATACAGAGGCAGATACATTTGTTGGTACCATTCCACAATCAAAAAACACAACTTATGTGATTGGCCAAAAGGCTCCAGTTTTCTCTCATCAGTTCCAGAAACCTCTCCCAGTGACTTTACGGCTTGTCAACATGCATTTTGGTGAATTAYAGTCTGCTAACAGTGAGCGCCCCCCTCGAGTTGTCTTCCATGAAGTTCATTATGATTCAGAATGTGATGGGCGGTATGATTAGAAAACCTCGTGCCTTGACCATGGAGTTGGGCTTGAATAGTTATTGATAGTTAGTAATAGTAATAGTTATTGATAGACCATTTTTGATAATAGCGGCCGTGGTCAGAGCAACATGAAGCTGCTTGTAGATTGTCTTGTAGCATTTAAATTTAACAAGGGTATGTATAATCTTGTTTTTGAACTCCTTAGACCACTTTTACTGCTCTGGTGTGAAACACACAATACCAAACCCCACAGTGGCCTGAACCTTCCCTTTAACGTGGCTGAAAAAAAATCTTTGAAGGCGCCTGTGATTGTAATTAAGGTTAGACACGTTGCTATCAAGAAACCTCTTATTTTGAAGGTGGTTCAAGGGTGGTAGACCTGACATATACCTAACAAATTTCAGATATACATTCAAAAACCACAAGCATTTTTTTGTCCAGCCTAAAATCCACTTTAAATGAGCAGGGTATGTAATTAAAATGCAGTAATAACATAAATATTCATTACTATCTGCTACCAATATTTTATTTTGTACAAAGAGCAGCCAGTCCTAATATCTGGCCATGGTTACTGATGGCGCTGACCATAAACAGATTTGTTAACTAGTTAGTCCTCAGAGTGTTTATTCACTATAGCAACAGGAAGTTTATTTGGTACCTGTAAAATGCTGGAACCTTGATGAAATGTTGTTGTGATTACACATAGACACAGCAGCATGTGCTGACATCATGCAAGAGCAACATCTGTCTCTTATTGCACAAGAGCTCTGCCTCACAAAATGGCCAAGTTTTACATGCATTGTTGTTTTTGTGTCTGTGGCTAAGTAGCACCCTGTATGTAAAAGCAGAATAAGATGGGAACCTGTTGTTCTAGTCTTTGTTTGCCCAGAATGGCATTAAGAAATAATTCTTGTGGTATACCCTATTTCACTTTTGTGTGTCTAGCTTGTGTTTCTGTGATGTATTGCGATATCACATCAGGCTCGCGTCTCACTTCCATTTTTTTTCCTTTCAGTCTGAATGTTTTTACGTCCTGACTCCCACCAAGTGGATACAGTTCACTGTCTTTTCTTGAATTTGTGCAACTTAATTACGCAATGTCAATCAAAGCATAATTTTCCCTGTCAGCTCAGAGTTAGACATGTTTTTTTTTTAATCTTTTTCCAGAAACTGATTGAAAAGACAAATACTTCAGGCAGCCCTCAAAGAACACTTGGGAATTTAGTCACATTGCCCATTTTTAAAAGAAAAACAAATTCTTAATTTATGCTGATTAAGCCACCATTTTATTGCATGATAGCAGCAATAAAACATTTTCATAYATCGCAACATGTGCGAAGAACATGGCATTTGCACCGTTGGCCCATGAGGCACCTGATGAGACCAGCTTATAAACAAATATTCTTTCCTAATCTGATACTTTCTTAAACTAATCTAACAATCTGACTGTGAAATTAACATTCTTCTTACTTAAATTTCAAAGTAAAAATATTTATCAAAAATAACCTAAACTGTCCAGATTTTTGTGTGTGTAACACCTAAACTTAAATCTTAAATCCTGATCTTATGTTTTAGGTAAACTTGATCCTTCATATCATTAACAATTGCTTATTGTTTTAATATGTTATGTTAAATTAATAAGTGAATATAAATGTTTAAATCAAATCCAGAAATTCATAGTATTCACCTAATGTTTAATTTAGAACTCTTAACTTTTTTTGTGTTGATTTATCATTTATTGACTTAGTTTTTAAATTTCGTATGTATAAAATCCTAAAAAGGCTAATTGGTCACTTTGATTTAAACTATGTTTTGATGAAACTTCCCTGAAATGAACAGATTCATCCCTCAAATTTTGAGATCTGATAAATTATAGGGGTGAATAACTCAAGCAGTCTAAATTTTGTTTGTTAATTGATCAGTTTTATTAGATGACCCCCTTTTATTGAGAGCATAACACTATAGCAAAATTAGTATCATACTTCTTCATCCTATGGCCATAAATGATAGACCGTGTTCAGAAGGGAGGAAGTTTTAACTGAAAATTACACAAAACCCTCTTGGTTAGTCAAATCCCAGTAAAGACTATAGATTTGGTTGGCAGTCTATACTTTTTGTATGTTGATAGCTCTATGTTTGGCTGCCAGATAACCATCTTCTTGTGACAAATTAAAATCCCCCTCAAAATATTCAGTTGTTTTTGTTTGCTGGGAAAAGGACACAGCAATGTCTTCAGTAACAAGTCCCTTGGTCCAAACAGAGCTTATTAAAACTCTTACATTGCACATGCTGTAGACATAATTAGGGAAAATAAAAATTGAGATTTTTCTTAGGAAAAGAAAAAGCTCATTAGTTTGTTAATTTACATTCAGTCAGTGTCCACTGTTGTTCTGAGGAGACTAACTTTTTTTTCTTATTTTACTTTTGATCCAGCTCACATTCAAATTCTTTCAAGTTCTCGTTCATCTTGATGAACTGTTATTTAGTAATTGTTTTCACATTGCTTATTTTTTTAAAGCATCACATTGCAACATTTATTAACAACTGTAAAACAGGGGTGGGGAAAAAAAAGTAACAGCAACAAAAGTGACATGATTGAAGTAATCATATTWTTCCTAATAATGATGGCAACCATAACCAAAACAACATGGCGACCACAAAAACCCCCAACACAATTATGCCACAATCCAAGCCAAGAAAATAAAAACCTCACACTCCAATGCGTTAACTGCACAAAAAATGCAAAGAAAACCAAAGGAGTAAAAGAAATGTCAAAGCTAAGACAACCAACTCACAGGGCCAACAAGAGGCAGGCGAAACCCCAAACTAAATAGATCCAAGGGACTATGCAGGGCAGATAAAGATACAAGTGCACACTCCAATGCACAACCTGCACACATATCAAAAAGAGCCTCTGGAGCAAGAATTGACAGCATTTTTTATAATACAAAAAAAGCCTAACCATAAACCATCAAATTAAATCTGAGCACAACAAGCTTCTATATGTGGAAGAAAAAGGTAGAAAAGGAAATTGAGTATTATGTTGTTAGACACATAACTTAATTATAGTCTAAACCTAAAGGCAGTACCTCTAGGCCAGCCATTCTGATAAATTAATAAAGTGTTTCAATGCAGCTGTAGTTAGAGGCTGTGTCATAGCTATAGAGCATTTTGGCATGGTCAGACACTGAATTGAAATTTTAGAGTCGGGCCAAATCTGAATCAGGAAACTTGGCGGCGGCTGACTAACAACATCCTTTATGACTCGTTGGAGTGGCATGCAGCAAAAATGGCTCAGTGTCTACACCCTTTCCCTGACAGTAAAAGAAGAGTTTCTTCACTCTAAATTGTTGCCTGATGCTTAGATGATGATGTGGGAGTCTCCGGGGGCACCGTACATACGTTTTTTCCTTTTAATTCTGAATCCTTTCACGGTCCGACTCCCCCTCCCCAAACGGACACGCTTGCCTGTCTTTCCTCCAATTTGTGTATCTTAATTACATAATGTCAGTCAAAGCATAATCTTTCCTGTCAACTCATAGTTAGACAAATTTTTTTTTCACAAACTGATTTAAAAGACAAATACTTCAGGCAGCCTTCAGAAGACTTGTGGGAATTTAGTCATTTAGCTCAATGTTTAAAGAAAAACAAAACCTTAAAATGCTGATTAAACCATCTTTTTTTGTTTGATAGTGGTAAAAAAGTGTTTCAAGTCTTAAGAAAAAACATTTGTTTTAACTTGACTTGAACTTAAATTTGTCTTTTGTATTGTATTTGTTAAATGTACTGATCCAGTATTCAGCTACTTAAGTAAACTGAGGTCGATACAAATCTGAGTTTTTGTGTTACTGCCGCCTTTATTATTCAGTCTTTTTATTTAAGAGAGCTACTGGACAACACCCGTCATCACTGTTGAAGCAAAGATAAAAAACAGGCCTTCATTCTACAGATCCAGACTCACAAATGAACAGTTTTTTTTAATCATAGCTGTGCTCTGCAGTAACTTCCTTGATTTATAACAAGAGTAATGAGGCGTGTTGTTTTTAAATGTTTTTGCTCACATGTTTCTTGGTCTGTTTATTTATAGTTTTCTGTTAATGTGAAATTTGGACTCTGCAGAGAGACTGGTGGAAGGATGATAAATATTTCTTCACAGCCTTGTTGAAATTGTTGTTAGGTTTGTGCTTGTTTCAGCCATTTTGTAAGTCAGTCATAATTGGCTGGTATTATCCCTAAATTTTGTCATATTTTTAATACATAACTATAAAAAAAATCCACAGAATTTAGCAGTGATTCTCGCCCCCATGTTAACATAGTGGTTAACTCTTGGAAATGATCCAAATTATTTTGACTTCCATCTGTCTGCTCTTCAAGTCAGAAAGCACCAAATACATTATACATATCACACTATCTTTTTTTAAAGCCCAGACATGTTTTACGAAACCTGATTAAAYTTACGACAGGTTTTAGATGCATGCTGAAACAATGTGAAAGTTTAAACGTAGGAAGGAGATGTTGGGTGTGAGAGATAAAAACTTTAATTACTTAGAAACACCAGTCAGTGAGCAGAACAGTAATTTAACTCTTTTGTTTCCTTCTCTGTCTTGGTTTCAGAAATCATCGACGACCTTGCACATCTTGTTGACAACACGGATGGTAGGATTCGGAATGAGACACGAAGGGTGAAGCTGGTGGAGACCAAGTCGGCCTCTTGTGGTGAGCCTTTCTTGTTTTGCATTTACCTGTTTACATTGAAACAACGAGCCTAGGTTGCAACAACAAACAGGTTTACGACCGGAGAGCTGTGGGTTTACATGTCCAGATTCTAAACTCTGGCTGCAGGGAGACATAAGACTTTTTGGCACAGCTGTTGTCTTTTTTTTTCAATACTTTTATTTGTGTTGCAGTTTTTCGAACCAAATAAAACATTTACAAACAAAGAAAGTCAACGGAGGAGAGGGAGGAAGTCACACTCAATAATTGGAACAGAAGAACATCAGATGTTTACTTAAAACATTCCTTATAATACCCTAATACACTCACCGGCCACTTTATTAGGTACACCTGTCCAACTGCTCGTTAACACTTAATTTCTAATCAGCCAATCACATGGCGGCAACTCAGTGCATTTAGGCATGTAGACATGGTCAAGACAATCTCCTGCAGTTCAAACCGAGCATCAGTATGGGGAAGAAAGGTGATTTGAGTGCCTTTGAACGTGGCATGGTTGTTGGTGCCAGAAGGGCTGGTCTGAGTATTTCAGAAACTGCTGATCTACTGGGATTTTCACGCACAACCATCTCTAGGGTTTACAGAGAATGGTCCGAAAAAGAAAAAACATCCAGTGAGCGGCAGTCCTGTGGGCGGAAATGCCTTTTTGATGCCAGAGGTCAGAGGAGAATGGGCAGACTGGTTCGAGCTGATAGAAAGGCAACAGGGACTCAAATAACCACCCGTTACAACCAAGGTAGACAGAAGAGCATCTCTGAACGCACAGTAGGTCGAACTTTGAGGCAGATGGGCTTCAGCAGCAGAAGACCACACCGGGTGCCACTCCTTTCAGCTAAGAACAGGAAACTGAGGCTACAATTTGCACAAGCTCATCGAAATTGGACAAGAGAAGATTGGAAAAACGTTGCCTGGTCTGATGAGTCTCGATTTCTGCTGCGACATTCAGATGGTAGGGTCAGAATTTGGCGTCAACAACATGAAAGCATGGATCCATCCTGCCTTGTATCAACGGTTCAGGCTGGTGGTGGTGATGTCATGGTGTGGGGAATCTTTTCTTGGCACTCTTTGGGCCCCTTGGTACCAATTGAGCATTGTTGCAACGCCACAGCCTACCTGAGTATTGTTGCTGACCATGTCCATCCCTTTATGACCACAATGTACCCAACATCTGATGGCTACTTTCAGCAGGATAATGCGCCATGTCATAAAGCTGGAATCATCTCAGACTGGTTTCTTGAACATGACAATGAGTTCACTGTACTCAAATGGCCTCCACAGTCACCAGATCTCAATCCAATAGAGCATCTTTGGGATGTGGTGGAACGGGAGATTTGCATCATGGATGTGCAGCCGACAAATCTGCGGCAACTGTGTGATGCCATCATGTCAATATGGACCAAAATCTCTGAGGAATGCTTCCAGCACCTTGTTGAATCTATGCCACGAAGAATTGAGGCAGTTCTGAAGGCAAAAGGGGGTCCAACCCGTTACTAGCGTGGTGTACCTAATAAAGTGGCCAGTGAGTGTATTGACTGTTTCAAAATTAGTTATTATTCCTCTGAGCTCCAAAAACAAATCCACTTTCTCCATGTTTTTTATTGTAATCAGATTTTCCTTACAGTGTAGGTTAGTCTTTCCATCTAACATAAGTTAGTCCATTGTAGTTGGTCCGGGGCTGTCAGTTTGAGCCAAAGTCTTGTTATGGCTTTCCTTGCTGCGGTTAATAGGATCTTAGCAAGATATTTGTCCTCACCCCGTACTACTTTGGTTATATTTCCCAAAAACATCACAGTACATTCTTATGGGACACTATATCCCAGTACCTTTTGTATCACTGTGCTGTTATTGTCTTTTATTGTTAAAACCTAACTGTACTCAATAGGACATCTTTTCACAGTATAAAAAAACCCACTATGGGGTAAAAAAAAATGATGGTCCCATCACACGTTGCACCAAGTCAGGGTCACTATTATCATTTTGTGTTACTTCAGTTTATCAATTTGAGGTTGAACAACAGTAAGACCCTCTTCACAAAGGATAAAGACCCCGCTATGCGCTCCACAACTTACACATCCAGCTAGAATGAGGCTGGATTGTGACAGATTTGAAAAACTTTCCAAGTGAAGTCAATCATGATGCTACTATGTGCTTGGAACTTATCAAAATGATTTTTCTGTTATTATGGCATCCCTAAGATGCACTATCTTAAAAAAAACTACTGTCCTGAAAGCTACCAACCCCCTGAATAGGCCACGTTCATTTTGCCCTGTGAAATGCCCGTCTCTGTTACCATGGAACAGGCTGCACTGTTGTACGTCAGCTAATAGGCAGTCAGAATAAAACWGGACACAAAAAGGAAGGTCAGGCTCCAGAATGCTTCATTCTGTTGCTTGTGTCCCCATGGCACCAGAGCAGAAGTTTGTTTGATGATCCCAGAGCTTATATTGTGTTGGAATATGTTGTGAAAATGTTGTTGGATTTTTTTTGTTCTTTTGTTTGTTTCTTATTTCCAATCCTTTGTCCATTTGTCTTTTTTTGTTTCAGGTTGAGGAATTTATATGATGTGTTTGAAACTGAACAAGTATCCACCAGTATATTGGCATTGTGCACAAATTATTTCGCTTGCGATTACAAAGTAAATACTTGTGCATGCAGCTCAGTGTCTCTGAGGATCAAACTGTTTCAACGGATGGAAAATTCCCCTCTGATCTTCTTCACTCTCACCTCTACGCTCTYTTTCTTTCTTTCATTCATCTCTGTCATCCCTCCGTTCACCACCTCAGTTGTTTGACACTCGTTTTTTTGTGAAGCAGAGAAAGAACTGAAAATACGGCATGCCACAAATCGTTTGGAGGGCCTTCCCCCGTGCCATGGCAGCGTGTTTATAATTCCTCAGCTTTAAGGCTTTTATTTATTTTTGAAAGCGCCGCTCATCCAGCGCTGGTGTTTGGTGTTATGACTCAGTCGCGTCCTTGTAAAAATGGGATCCTCTGGCTTTGACAGCAGAGAACATACCTAACATTACTGCTAGGCGCTGCTGCATTGTAGTGGACATGCCAGACTTGTGTTAAAAGCTGAAAGCTATTTCAGGTTTTCACCTTAGGATTGTCAGTATTTTTCATCAAACCCTCATACTGGGTGTGGAGTGTTTCATTTGTTTTATTTTATGTAGACACAATACAAGAGATGTGTGAACTAATGTGTCTTCTCATGGCAAGGGAACAACTTTGTATGATTTTTTTTAAACAAAACTCATTAAAGAGCAAAAAAAAGTTCCAAAAGTACTTTATTATGCGAAAAGACATCCTGTTAATCTTGTTAACATAAAATTTCTCCTCTTCCCATAGACATCATCATTGTTTTCTGTGGTCCAAAAGGTCTTTGAACTTTGAAGGGGGGGGAGCAGTGAAGGAGGTTTAAGGGTCGTCTCTGTCTGGTCTTAGTTCTCACCATTATCGTTCCTCCTCTCTGGTTTTTCTTACTGATGGGTCTGAAAATTGCTAAAATGGGATGAGCCTGAGCTTCCAAAGCTCCTGGGTGGTCAGTCTGTCAGCGGACACCAGCCACCTCCCTCAGCATCGCTGTCACAGYGGAGCTCCAATCTATCTGGGAAGCAAGTGCCAGAATTGTCATTAGCCTCTGGAGGGTCCTCTGAGGGTCAGGGGTAGCTTGTTTAGGCAGAGCGTGAGGGTCCGAGGACAAAAAGAGGAGGGTCAGAGTGGGTGTCAGCTCTGGCTTTATGACTTACCATTATGTGGAGCTGAAGAGTGTGAGAGCGTTGCTCCTCAGTAATTTATGCATGGGTTTAAAATGCTGCTGTTGCTTTGGTGTGTCAGGAGTTCCTGTCAGACACTGGATCAGGATCAGTGAAATTCTTCTGTCTGAATCCAGTAAGGATTGGATTCTGCTTACATATATTTTTTTACACCCAAACAAAGATAATTGCTGCACATTTTTTATGTGTATTTGCTTTAAGCTGGAGGCTTTTAAAGAGTCATCACACGTATCTGAGCGTGTGTTTCTGCTTTGACATTTACATTACGCTCACATGTGTGAGTCATTAAGGGCAGAGGTGCTGTCTCGTCTGATGAGAACACCTCACTTTCTGTGGGAACCAATTATAAATACCGTCCTGTATAAAAGAAAATACCACTGAACAGCCTTTATGTAAATAACTGCATGGAGAGAAATTGAAAAAAACCCTCAATATTTTTGATTTTTTGTAAAAAAAACAACTAAAAAGAGTAAATCAATACAAGACATCTGAGCTCTTGAGCTGAGCGTGTTTATTGGTCCTGGTTTAAATCTTCACCTGTAGGAAAACATCAGAGATCACAGAGGAGAAGGTGGCAGGAAAAAAGTAAAAGAATGACAGAAATGTAAATCTAAATATAGAAAGGCTGAGTGAAATACCAACCGTTGTGTTTGGTAGATGATTTTTTTGAATTTTATTTATTTATTTATTTTGTAATGATGCTTCTTGACAATAAATCTATGTCGTTGGAAAGCCTGTTAATTTCCTTTAAAATGGTGCCATATTTGTAAGGAACATGAATTTGTGGGATGAGCAGTAGAGCAGAGTATGTTCGTTGCTCACATGAAAAAATTGCCAAATCTCTGCCAATTTTGCTGCACTTGTTTGGAGCTTCTGGTCCCCTCAGGTGCTGCCAATCATGTGCCCGCTTTAAGATTTATATATTATATAATATACTAAACACTAGCTTCCTTACATTTTGTGCTAAGTGTAAAATACGTAGATGTGCCACAAAAATGCAKTTTGTACTAAGGAAGCATCATAAATCGGTTCATGACTTTTAAAAGAAACAATGGTGATACTATTTTTTTTTAATCAACACAACAGCTCTGCTTCAGAGTTCAGAAAATATTGGACAAAATACCACTTAAACAACTTTAATGTGAAACAATAAAAGTTTATTTGTTAACACAGCTTCATAAATAGTTTTGTTGAAAAGTTACATCAGTTAATTTAAGTTTCAAAGCTTATTTTCATTTATTCYGATTAAACTCATTAAAATCCTGCTTCACTAAGAGGAAACAGAAACTCTACCTGTCGCTGAGCGTGGAACTTTTTTGTTTTTTTGTTCAGGGTGGTGGCTGTAATAAAAGCTGTAATATTTTCAGGTCCTGAGGGTGAAGTGCTTTGATGAAGTGTGAGTGAGCTTTTGCACATTTTTCTCTGCTGCCATAATATCAGTAAAAAACAATGATTCTCCTCTCRGAGCAGAATCAGAAACATGTGTCCATCACAAAGAGGAGTCTGTGGCGCTGAGGCTTTGGGACTGCTAAACATGTTTTTTTTTTCTTTTTTTCCTCCTCAGGGATGATGGTGGTGATCGTGCTGCTTCTTATAGCCATCGTTGTGATCACGGCGTGGCCCGTGTAGCTAATGGAGACCACACCAACCGTGGACGTGTGATGCACAAAACATTAAAAACAAACTTCTACAATTCACACACGTGGACACAGGCACTTATCTGAACCCAGCATCAGGTTTGTCCGACCAAGGAAATGTAAGATGAAGATTTGGATTTTTGCAGCTCAGATCGACACAAAGTCACCGGTTGGTTGAAGTGTTATTTTCTCTTTTGTAAATATTGTGAGGGTATAAATATTTCTTTATAATTGTAATTCAGTGTCAAACTCATGAAACTGACTAATCATTAAGCTGTGAAAGTATAAGACTGTTGTAAAGAATGAAATTTGTTAGCCTGACTCGTGTTGTCCCAACAGAGGGACCTCCCACAGTCAGCAGCTTTCCTTACATCGGGTACAGTAACTCTGCAACGTTTTTATTAACCAGTCATCACTGCAGAGGCTGAAATGTTCTGATTCTGTAATGTTTATAGAGCAGCTTGTAGCCAAAACAAACATCTCTGTGTAACGAACACCACTCTTTCCTTTCCTCGTTAATCAGCTTATAGTTTCTAATAAAGCACATTTGCAGTTGATGGCCTCCGGATCTCTGTCTGCGTCTCAGTGATTTGTGACACGATATTTACCTTCGAGAGAAACGTTGGCCATGTTTTGATGCACATATTTTCAACTTTACAGTATTCAGTCCTCATCATCCTTTTTTCCTTGCTGCATAAAGACAACATGAATCAACAGAGGCAAACAATTTGTCAATTTACGAAGAGTTTATTTCAATTGAAAATCTGGATTTAGTTCTACCAAGCTGGTGTGTTCAGTAGTTATTTCCTTCTTTAATGTCAATGATCTAAACAACCACAAACAAGTAAAAAACCAAACAAATAAAAAAAATAACCTTGGAAAGACAATAAAATCCACAATGTCCCGTGTCATTAAATATATTCATATATAACCATAATATATTAGTAAGTATTGTAAAATAACATTGCTAAAAGTCTTTGCAATGGTGACGGCATTTACAATTCATAGTATGAACACAAAGCAATGCTTTGACATAGGTTGATGGGGTTTCATCTGGAGCAGGTGGAAAACTGACAACACAAGGTGTGCAGGGACGACAGAGCTGTGGTTACAGGTCAGTGAGAAGAAAATACAAAATATTGACCTTTGACCCTGTGTTACAGGTAGAACAATGAAGGGCAGRAACAGTTCATGGATGGTTTGTTGCCATCATGTCGGGATGATCAAACCTTAAATGTAAAAATAATTCAGCTTCAGCAGATTATTATTTATTATCTATAACTCATCTGTGTGTGTGWGWGAGAGAGAAGTGATTTGGACAATTTGAAGGGATGTTTTGTCTTCTAAACAATATCTTACCTGCTGTAGATAGCTCTTTGGATTACTTTTGTTTGGAGAAACAGACTTTAATTCCAACCAGATTGGTAAACTAGTTAGTCTGTGGGTTGTTACCATCTTTAATCAGCTCCAACTCTAGATTTGTTACATCTTATCTAAATGTTACTGCAAAGATTTTTACATCACTGTTAATTCTACATTAGTTATTAACATGGGATAAAGGTTGGTGATATACAGGTCAGTTTGCTCATCAGTCCAGTCAGAAATAAGAGCTATCTACAACAGGTAAGATCATAAATATACCATTTCCAAAGACCACACTTTAAAATGGCTGAAATAATTTAAAGTCTTAATAAATCTGATCCAGCTTTGGTCTTTTTTACAGAACTGGGTTGTGATGTGGCCACATTTCCCTCTGTTGAAATGTTAAAAAGGAGAACTAAGATGACAGTAGCAGTGAATTCATGCATTCTGTGTGGACTCTGAAGGTATTTATCTGTAAACTAAACTGTAATTTAGTTAACCAAAARCTCTTATTTGGTAGATTTTATTAGAAACTTTCGATAATACCTCTTTAAATGACATTCTGCTAAAAGCTGGTGTCAACAATTTTATAKTTAATTCAACAGATCTTTGCACTTYTCCTGTTTGTTGCACGTTGTGCTGAAGCAGTGCAGTACTTTCACTTACACAAGTTAAAAGTTGCATTCATTTCTCACAAGAACTGTAAGGGATATATACAAGCTTTTGTGATAAAAAAAAAAACAAGAATTGCAGCAGAAGTATAACGTCTGAGTTGTCATGTTTTGCAGTCGGAGCCCAAATGTCATTGTATAAAGGTCATCTGAACTTATCCAACTTAAGTTTTCTAAACATTGACCACATGTTAATTGGTCAAATATATATATTTTTTGTTTCTTTCTGAAGGAAAGACAGAATAAACAAAACACATGAATAAATACCGAAAAAAAAACAGTGATTTGAAATGCACCCCAAAGTATTTTAAGCAGCAAACATACAGAATTGAACTGACGAGCATTCATGTGCACTTCTATGCAAACACTGAACCACCACCTGTTATTGCTGGAGAGAGAGGGTGTTTAGACCCCCTTCACACTGGATAATAACCCCCCAGCTACGACATGAAAGATTAACCAGAACATGGATGTTCTTTGGAGGTTCTTGGGGAGGTCTTGAGGTGTGTATTAAGAACTCGGTGGGCTCCTCCTTCCACGCAGCAGAGCGTGGCAGTTTCATGATGGTTCTGTAGTCAGGATGTGGAGACAGAGTGTCGGAGTTTTAATCTGGAAGAGTCTCCTACTGGAGCTGCCATGTTGTCATTTCAGAGACACTATTTGAGCTCTTGGGTCCATCCTACTCAAACACACAGTTATTATGCTTTTTAAAAGCAAATAACTAATCATTACTAAATATATTAAAATAAAGAATATAGCAGAACGGTAAGAAACATGTGAATGAACACAAGTCGGCACCTGGAAATGAATATATACTATGTGGTGTATTTTTTTAGTCAAGAATAAACCTATTTGCTTTTATCGACTTAAGATTTATGCTGCAGCCAGCCTGGTTTTGGCTTTAACTTCCTGTTTATGTTCCTGTGTCTAGTTTAATACATGTCTATGGCAGCAGCAGTGGTGGTTTATTCTATAGTTGTGGAGAATCTACAGCTGGACTTAGACCTCTGGCGTCATGGCATCAAACAACCATGAAACCAGTGGTGGTGTGTCAGAATTTTATAGCACAAAGAGAGAGTTGCACCGGGGCGGTCGTATGGAGCATGGTGAGGACCAAGGAGAGTGTCTTGAGGACAAAAAAATAGCAAGAAAAGCCTGTTAGGAAGTGCGTAACAGCATCATGATTGCTTTCACACTGACATGGGCCATGTAGGTTGTGGACAGTGTCACTGTCATCCAGTGTGAAAGGGGTCTTAAAGATGTGCTCAAACGTTATATATTTTTGTCTTCTGCCACCAACACCAGCTAAATATGAGARARCCCTGACTGATGGATATGTAGAACGATGGAAACTGCAAATGTTTCCAAACACAGGTTAGAACAACTCACTGATGGCTAAAAGTCTGCCTCTGTGTGGCTGAACAACAGCAGCTCTTCTAGCAACGATCTCAGTTAAGTGACAACGTTCAAACAGATTAGCTTCTTAGTAAAAAAAAAAAAAAAAAGAAGAGAGAAAAACCATGCAGAGGCAATCTTGTAATTAAGTGTTTTTTTGTCATTTTTGCACCAGCTTAGAATGTCCATAAAATTAGAGCATACAATATAAGGTTTCGTACTGAAATAAAATAAAATAAAAAAAGTTATAATATACTGGTAATAGGTGCAAATTCGGCAAATCCACAAGAGAGAAGACTCTCGAAATAAAATAAACCATAAAACCAAATCTGCAAGGTGAGCTCCTTCAACGAAAGTTCACTAGAAAATACAAATCATTCTAAATATTTCTCTTCATGCTTCTAGACAAAAAGCAGCAACATAAACAGTGTCCTTTCTCTCCGCGGTCCTCTGTCTCTCTGTTTTATCTCCAACAATCCTCTGCTCAGGTTTGCTCTCAAATTCTTCCTCCTCTCGTCGGCGTGCCCTCCTCCTCCTCTCCTCCCCACCTAGGGCTTCTTGCACTTTCCTTTCTTCTCCCGCTGCTGGAACTTCCTGAGCCTGCGCGCCCACGTGTCCCTCCACTGGATGACCAGGCTGCCCTTGTCGGCCACCACGCCGCCCTGACCGGGGGAGACCTCGTCGTTCCCCAGCAACAAGTACTTCTTCCCGGGCTTGATCTTGGGACACTTGCAGGCGACGTCTTTGGAGCGGACCCACAAGAACTGGTCCCCACGGCGGATCCGGCTCTCGCCCTGCTTGTACACGGAGATGATGTTGACGGTGAATTTCCACCATTCTCCCGTCTTGTCTGCCTTCAGGATGTGGACTTGGACCGCTGCAACACGGTGGTAAAAATATGTTAATGTTCAAATATTTTTAGTACATCCAATGTACATGTCATTTCTGAGGGGTAAAGTTTACTCTTTCAGTAAGACTAAAACAAAGAAATTTCTGATTTATCTATTTTTGGCTTGGGTGTCTGATCAGCAACAGTGGTAGGCTACATCATATCTAATAAAGGCCTATAAAGTACTGGAAAAATAAGTACAGATACCTTTTAACACAAGATGGCATTCACTGATAAATAAAGTACTACAGTAAAAGTCATAAAATGGCTCACAGTAATTTACTCAGCTGAGTTTAGTGGAACCAGTTGACATAACTTGGTTAAAATCTCTCTGACATCAATTTTTACTTAACAKGAATGCTTTTTTGGAAAAAGAACAATGATAAAATATTGCAAAACAAATTTCACGTTGCTGAGATGAACGGTTGTTGTGATWTTTGCATGTGARGAAACAGGAAGTGATGTCAAAGGGGAATGTCTGCATGTAAACAGAGTGTTGTTACAATAGCTGACAACAGAGACTATGAAGAAGTATCTGATGTTTCTTTAGATTATTTTGAGTTTCTATCAAGGAGAGATGAAGAAGAGTTAAAGTTTAAATAATGTTGTTTTAATAAACCAAGACCAGAGAGTTTATTTTATTAGAGTTCCYCTCTGATGTCACTTCCTGTTTCACTTTGGCTGAGCCAAATCCAAAAGAAAATAGGCCAGTTGTGAGACAAAATGTGTAAATTCATGTGTATTATGTCAATTTTAAGAATGAAGATGTTTTCTTTGACTTTTTTATGTGAAGGATAGACATGTCACAGGACCTTTAAGTAAATTCAACACTTACTTTTTTAATGCATAAACAACCATTTTCATGATGAGAGTTCCAGTTACAGTATATCTAAATTTGCAGTGTGTAACGAGGGGTTAAATTTGAAAGTGAAGTATAAGTATAATTTTTATGTTTTGAACATAATGAAATAAAAGTAAAAGTTATGATTTAACAAAATTACAGCTCCTCAAGTGTTTGAATAACAATTGTATTTTTAATATGACGAAACACAAATAGTGTACATCTTTACACAGCAGAGGGCCTTCCATTTGTCTTCTGATGTTTTTTGCAGTCATCAGGGCCAGCAGATCCACTCCACTTCACAGACAACCAACACACATCAAATCAGCCTGGAAAGCTCTCCTGAACACGTTTGTGTGTTTTGTGCAGACATGAGGGCACTCAGTCCGGTGCYGAGTGACGGATTCTTCCTAACGAATCTTTCTAACGAACAAACTTGTGCTATCAAATAGTTGCTGCCAGTGTTTAGCATTTGTTTTGCAATATTCTTTTGATAAAATCTTATTTGTGACATTTCAATGTTTTCTACAGCAGCCGGCTGTACAGAGCCGGGAGTGGAGCTGATCTGGAGACGAGGCTTTTCTCACGACACCAACCGCGAGTTAGGCTCGGAGGTGTCAATAAGCTGACCCCTAACTCCCCCAAATCCCCGTAGAACAAAGCCCAGGCCTATCTGTCAAGCTCCTGAAGTATGCTGCAGGACGCCCCGCTCTGCTTGAGCAGCTCTGCAGCGTGACTTCAATCGGGCGGGGTGTGTGTGTGTGTGTGTGTG